CACTATGTGATAAAGAGGTTAAATGGCAATTCAAGCTTGATACAAAAACCATTCAATATTTGGAATTCATCATTTAATTTTTGTTATTTGTAACATGCAGATGCTAAAAGAGGAAATACTCTGCAATACGCAATATTGTTTCAGGCAGCAAACACATTAGCAAAATCACTACTGTGAGTTATAAGTTAGGGGTCGGGTTGGACCCCTTGTTCCCTTCAAGCGTTGGGCCTGATTTGCATGTGACATAACTCTGCATGTGGGAAGCATATGAATACCGATCTCTTTGCTACGTGTAAAAATGTATTGGAGACAAAATCACTAAATTTCGGAAAGTTGTACCCAGTAGTTGTTACAAAACACTATAAAACATGTGCATGGCGTCCACGGAGACCCCACGTGAACCGACAAGGGTTAACGTCTTCACCTACAATAGTGATATTGCAGACATCAACGACCTAGTGTACTTTTAGTTAAAGACAATCCCCAAAATACCATTTTAATATTTTCGGTCATAATTCTCATCTTCTCTGGACGCTTTTCATTATTCTATGAGCAATAATTTATGTAACGCTCCATCTCTCTTTGGTTAATAATGTTTTATTATCATTTTGCCTTACTTCATAATTTATGATGATCATAAGACCGTAGAAGTCGGTCACCTGGAACAATCGTGTTTCGTGCAGAATGGAATGCATTATAATTATAATCATATATAATAATTACATTTTATAGAGATTCTGTAAGGCTCCATTAAAATCCATGAATTGGTTTTAACCTTTGGCTGATATATCTTCTTTTAGATTTAACAATAAATGATATCTCTTAAAAGTCATTATTCGTGGGCTTAAGTTAACATTTAGCGTGTTCTTCATAAGGCATGGCGTAACCGAGAGATTGTAATATTTCTACGAAAGTAAAGGCGCGTACAAAGGTCCCAATACGGTAGTTAGAATGCAAAATTCGTTCGTGCAATTGTGTAAATCGGGTACGTTTTTATGGTTGTATGTTATATATTACAAATTGCAGGGTACTCGAAATCATTTATGGAAAAACTACCTACCAATCTGACTAAAACACAGATCCTATTTCGTTTCGGTTTTTATAGTTCAAAATTTCGTTTCGTTTGTCTGTATTACACTAAGATCTGGAAGAGTTGTTACATAACCTGAGGTCTGAACGTCGTGAAGGATTAGCCAATGAAACCATCTGTTACGAAGATTTCTTGGAGTGCGATGCACGGATTTGTGGGTAAACCACTAGAAACGTGAACGCTGATTGATTAATCAATGTCTGACGTTAGAGGGTCAAAAGCCGTTTATATGACCTCTGACGCGACCTTTTACTACAACCGGTCAGATCTTCATGTAGTGTAGGCCATCGAAAGTATAAAAAACGAAGCGAAATATATATCTGTATTTTAATCAGATTTGAATACCAGAAACTGTCTAACTGACTTTAATGCATAAATCTTATTCATTCGAATAACATTCATGATGCGAAACTGACTTGATTCTCCACGTAAACAGCCAAGGTACGTGTAATGTAAGGTGATTCCCCTATCTCGTTAATATTGTGAACGAAAGCAAATAAAATATCTGAAGATATGATATAGTCCTTGCTGTAGCGATCTAGAATCTGTGAATGGGGGGTAAGGGGAGGTTTCAAATCTAGGGCGCCATCCATAATGAATGCCAACAAAATATATTGCTTATATAGTTGTTCGCCGATCTTTATACCACCGGAAAGCAGTTTTATTCAAGTTGACATAAAGTTTATGTCATATTATGATTGTTATTGTTTTTTCTTGTGTATCTTAGGGGGCACTTTCTTGATCTCATGCTGCCCCCCACCCACGACACACACCCTCTTGAAATTGCCACGCCTGGATCCTTGCCCAAACTTTGCGCTTAAAGAACTTGCCCTTATGTATTTAATATACTGCAGTTATATCCGTGTTATTTAAAGGGGTTCACAGTCCGCGTTCATAAATAGTGGTGGTGCACAATGGTTTCCAATTTTATCGCGAGCAGATTGCATTGACAAAGGAGTGTGTGTATGATAATACGTAATTACGGAAAAAGTAAATTTCTGGGAAAGATACGTTTCTCCTATCTATATATCTGCCAAAGTACATAAATATAGAAGTGTCAACTATATTATATGTAAAATAATTTGATAATTGGTGGGTTATCAAGGTCACGTGCCTTTCCACACCTTCGTTTATCCACGTGGTGCCCTCGAGCTAATAGCAAATTACAACACAATTTAACACAACTGTCATACAAGATTTTTTTTATTTTACGACTTCAACAACGGTAGTGTAACTACTATCTACATTACGATGTCAACTGACCACAAAATATTCAAAGTATCTATGAAGTAGGCTAGAGGAGCGCCATTGTCATTTAAAGTATTTGGGCTTAGGAATAAAATTAGGTCAATGGAAAAATAGAAGGTTTCAATTTTCAAACATTAGTACAAAAAAGTCGGGGGATTAAATTTACATTAGGATTATATATTTTAATGTAAAGGACCAACGCTCTATTGCGTTTATTCTGTTTTATTTACTTCCTTATTTATAACCTCGTGACGTAAATATTAATCAACAGTGAGTAAAGCACGGGCTCGCTAACCAGCAGGTCTCGTGCTCGCTCCCGGTGATGGTGGAGAAAGTTCCTGCGTGGTTTCCCTTGTTTAGGGTTCGGGTGGGACAAAAACCGGATACACATTAGTGTGCACATAAAAGAATTCTTCACAGTTGGAATTCGAAATAAGAGCAGACAACTGCCCCCGAGCCTGTATACCTGTCTTCATTAGCCCAGGCAATGCAGAAAAGAATGACGTTAAACTGTATTTCATTTATAGTTGAACTGGACTAGACTGGCGACCTTCGTGTCCACGTTATATATTATATCTCCCACCAACCCGCACTTCAACCAGTTTTATCAATGAAATCACATCTAGTATTTAGATTCCTAGACATAAAAATCTTTTAAGCTTTACTTGAAAGGAAACGCACATGTAGAGCCGTGGGCGATATTTTCAATGTGGTTTTATACCCGTTTCATATGTAGGTCTTCATGCATACCGATTGTAAAATTAAGTCGTTATCTTTGGCGTTGTCCATATAGAGAGGAGTGTAACGCGTAGGGATCTATAGCTGTGGAAGGAAAGCGGGGGACCCACAGTAAAACCACGATCGAAGATGAACGAGTTCAGTAGGATTTTTAAGTGGGTGATCCCCATTTAGCTGTTATATACCCCTCACTCATCACCTCTAATAAACACATTCGTATCATGAATGTTATTCTAATGAATAAGATTTATGCATTAAAATTAACTTTTATTTAAAAGCTAAACACGCACTCTCCGTCGAAAACAGCCAACATAAATTGATGAGACTGAAATAAATGAACTTCAAATAACTATGCTTTACATATAGCTTAACCTGTTTTATCACAACTTGCGTTATAGAAAGACCCCCTTGCATTACTTAAAACCACAACAATTGCAATAGATTACCAAATTACCAAAAATAAACTTCAACTATTTGCATTCATTCATGGTTTAAGCCATTTAAAACTTCTCCCCATTAACATAAATGGGTGCGATGCGTGGACTAGAATTCTACAAATCTGGAGAAAAAAAAACGTATAAAGAGCAGTTTAAAGGCTATAAAAATCGAGAAAGATAGTATTACTATGAACACGAATCCGATTTAAGATGTAGGGAGGAACGACAGTAAAGAATCACTTTGTTTTGGACGGTCTGTGGGGATATGAGTTTGCAAGGGGTAATGCCAGGAGTTTTTTTAAACCATAAATAGTTAATTCCAATAAATTTCTGGTCGAAAACGATTTATGAACTTCATTGCCCCGAAGGTCCTTACATAAAGCAGCCCGAAACGTTGGGAATCAAGCGTTTTTATATGTATTATATCTATTAAACAGATGACGCGAGAATGGTAATTTGGGATTATACCTTTTGTAAAAGTCTTACTAAACTCCCAAGCATCGGCTTATGGAACGCTAAAGAGGGAATTACTGCAAACTATGCATAGCCTCATAGTCTCCTTTTAGGGAAATCAATCCTTAGATGATAAAATATTTTATCACAAGCCTACTACGCAGTTTGCGTGTATACGTATTTAGTTGCCTACTAGGACCCCTTTAACACAGACAGTATCTAGAGTGACAGGTGAATTTGAGCGTGACATAAACGACTACCAGTACTCCCATTGGTTGATATAAAGGTAAATAAAGCAAGTGTATATATAAAGTGTATTATGTTATTTTTTGTGTAGATTTAGTAGTGCAAGACACGCGACGTTATATATGCACATTTTGTTTTCGTTAACTTTTAATTGTTAAAAGCCCAAAAGGATTCTAAGTTTACTCTAGTGACGACCAATATGGAAGAAGCAACGGACTCAAAAGTTCCTGCAAGTTTACCAAACTGTACTGAAGCAACAGACCAGCAAGTTCTTCCAGGAAGCAGTGACGACTCTCAGTCCACAGATTCAGTCAGCTCTGATTCAAAACGAAGCAAAGTGGAAAAATACAATTTAAGACGAAGTTCACTGGTCAAACGGATCGAAGTGGAAGAAAAACGCAAACAGCCGAGAGAACAGAAGCCGAAAACTAAACCACCTCCTTTAAGTAAATACAGAAGGAAATCAGCGAATGCTCGCGAGAGAACTCGTATGAATGAAATGAATGTAGGATTTGAACGATTGCGAGAAGCTCTACCAGCGTTAGACCCCAGTAAAGTGACCAAACTAACATTATTACGACTTGCTATGAACTACATAAATTCGTTGAGAGAGGTTTTAGGTTACAGCGAAAATAATCCATTGAGCTTTGAATCAAGTGGTGGATCAACATACAGTAGTTCTTCTGGAGATGAAAATTCGTTCAGTCCAGTTTCGGATTTCCTGTTATCAGATGGGTGCACAGACGATTTGATGAACTTAAATTTAGACGAACTTTTACCTTAATACAGTTTGTTAAACAAATATTTGAAACAAGTGCAATAACACAATGTGCAATTGAAATGTGACTCTTGATATACTTTGTTCTACATCAAAGGTAGTTTTGAGTGTATGAAGAACGGTACCAGCTTCACGAACTTAATTTGTAAAGCACATTAACTTTTCATCAGAGATGATCCCGTAGTTCTCGAGAATCGGAAATATGTGTAGCTCGTGGGTTTACCATTAAACCAACATTATTTTGTTGTGACCCAATTGTAACTGATTTTGATGTGCTTTCTTTAACGATACTGAGCTCAACCAGGTAGGACAAGCGCTAACTATAACGGAAACATGTATAGGGAACTGTGAACGAAATAGCTAGCTGTAATCTGAATAGTGAACATAGAGATTGTGTGTGGGAAATGAGCATCGGCAGTCAGGACCCGTTTCAGCCCAGACTATACACGAAATCCTCTTAGGGTACAGACTCCAGACCAACAGACAATCGTCAACACCTAACTTACGGATATAGTTGACCGTTTAGCAAAAGGTAAGCAGCTGCTAGAGATTGTTTTTCTCCCATTATCAGATTGAGTTAAGTAGTTTATAGTTATTTTGACACGCCAAGTAAAGATATCTCAATTAGCCATTTTATCAAATCAAAGAAACACCTTCTTCACCAAGATTCATTACTTCTTTTATATAAATAAAAGTCATCAAGGAGGTAGTTTTAGAAAAACATAAAATACAGTAAGTTTCCAATTTATTCAAGAGAGATCGTTTACATACGTCTTTTATTTCTTGTTATATAATCACCTTTTGAATGAGCCTTTTATAGCTACTGTTTATATAAAAAGGGTAGCGTACTTCACTAAACTCCACTGTGAGTTAAATCTAGTAACAAACAGGCTGACATTTTGCAAGGAACAACTAATTAACGTGTTCATGCTATGGTCACCATCGTTCCTTGCTGAAGTTTTAAAATAAAATTGAAAATTACTTGAAATCCTTATTGAATCCAATCTCACTTGACACAAATAACAACATGAAAGAACAAAATAAGAAATACCCCAGTAACGAATAGTCTTCCTGGATGATGACGATATAAAGCGTCGTATGACAAACAAATAAAACAACCCAGGAGCTCATTTGGATGCATTGTAATCATTTTAGAGAATATTTTGATTCTCCCGGTATTCTTTTGTAAATATATTTTCCATCTATTTCAGATTTAACAGTCAGATGCCAAGTCTTACAACCGTGATTCCGGGTAATAGTTTATACTACCTGATAACATAATGAACAAAGTGATGTCTGATTTTAGAATTGTTAAAGATAATCAAGATATAAATATTTATATTATTTAAATCAAGATACGCGAACGATCATGATGAGCATTTTGCTTGGGCAACTGCAATGACGACATGCATGAAGTACTGACACGCAGTTAACTTCACACCAGGGGCACAGTTCTGACAAGCCTTATATCAGAATTAACCTTTTTGGTCAATGAGAAATACATGATTGGGCATATATATCTGCAAAATCTCATGGATATCACTACAATTTAATTTAATCATTTTTGTACATTCGCAGCCAGTTATAATCATTTCAGTTAATTTTGAATTTGGTCAATAAATATGTCATAATATCCCACAAAGTAAAATTTGATGACAACATCATTGCAGAAAAAAACAAAACATGTTACTTTGTTTAGAAATATATGCTTTAGCAGTTCTATATTCACATTCGCGAATCCTTAGAGCCCAACATCCACTAATTCGGATTATTGATATTATATGGCTGTGTTCATAGAATTATTGTAGAATCTAATGTATTTACATCTATAATTTGTTAAATTCAACACGCTTTTTTGTTTAGATGGAATGCTAATTTTGTGTTATATAATTACAATTTGTTAAAGCTAAAATTATGTTTAATCACCTAAACTTGCTGAAACGTCAATGCCAAGGCACCACCACCACTTACCTCTATTACCAAGACACTGTTGGTGTCAAATTATTGAATATTGAAAGCTTTTTATCATTACCAACAGGAAGCTTGGTTCAATCAATATTACGTACTGAATTTAACCCTACATGTACATAAAAATAAATATGCTAAATGTGCCAAATAATATAGAATATAGTATTTTATTGCAGGGAATTTTTAGCATAATCAAAATCATATAAATGTATATTATCATGTAAAATCAAAAGTTCAAGTTTATTTTAATAATATATATTAAAGTATTTTCAAATGTATATTTCTTTATTTTTCACTGGAATATCAGATAAAATCTAATCTTTATTGGATTGCAATGATTGCATTATTTCCGGGTTTCGGATAAGTCAGGGGCTAAGTGAAGGGGAATCAGTTGTGAGCTTTGCGTTATAGGTCTAGAGCTTTTGCACCCCGTGTCAAATGATTAGATATAACCCGGTTTCAGTGCAGTTTTTAGCGCTATATTCATAGTCTCGAACCAGTGTCAAACATATACCGTAGACCTACTCTCGTATGTTCCACACAGCTTAAAATTCACCCGCGCTAGGGTATATGGGCCCTTCTAATGCAGAATCAACGACCACCACGCTCCTCAGATAGGTCATCTCTTCTACAACTTTGTCAGCTTGGAAATACTGTGGGTGTGTTTGGGGTCATCGAAGGGGGGGGGGGGGGGGTTGGAGTCACAGGGAAATATACTATTATTATCTGGGTGTAGGTTTGTGTTACTAACATTATGGGGATAAACATGTGTTACCTCAGATTGAGATACTGTTAATCTACTGGAATTAAAGCTATAATCGAAGCTCCTTATTTTAAGTAAAGAATTTAAAGGGGTTTGCAATTTGCATCGCGACGGACACGCCGCAACATCTGGGCTACGGTTCCGTTGTTTTAGCATGTCCCTCCCAATCTCTACATTGCAATTAAAAAAATGCTTATCCGCAAACAGCAGAGACCTAAGCCTACATATGTTTCTTTTTGCACCTTACTGGTTACATAAACTCACCTTTCTTTGTCAGAATTCACTTAAAGAGTTTCAAGAATTTAATGTTATTGTTAATTCGAACCTACATCAATCTAACTGGAAACTTGAAAGAGAAATTATCGTTGATGTGCTCCAAATTTTTGTATTTAATTTGGACTTTGTGTTAAAATACGGACCAAAGTTTCAGAAATTATGCTATTCATCACGACAATTCACTGCTCGGGGTCGACTCCTTCAATTTATCTTCTCGGTGGGGTTACTTAAACAGTTTAATTATTTATATACAAACGTAGATAAGAAAACGGGGAGAAAGTTATTCGACTTACACCAGGGGGTGATGGTTTTATAAGAAAATCGTGAGCTCAGTGATTCACAAAGGTTTATCATGATAAGAATTGAGAAAAATAAAATCTCAATTATATACTTACAATAGAGCAATGTCAAAGCATTCAGACATTTTGTAAAATTTAACCGTATAGCGAAATATTTTCAAGGCAACTAGTTAATAAAAATGTGAGGCAATCTAAAAATGATACAAAATATAAAGGACAAAATTATGGGAGCTTTATTCCTTGTGAGAATAATGGTGTATACAGAATTTCATTAAATGGATCAGGGGCACACAATTTAATATTTCTTAAATTGATATTGAACACAAATCGAAGACTGGATGCTTTTAATCATAACGTTGAACTTCTTGAAACTAAACGTCTCTTTAAGGAAATGAAATTGTGTGCAAGGTCTTACTTTTCTGGACCAACCCCATGTCTGCTCTTATGTCGATTTTTATCTGCAAAGGGGTCTTTAACGTGCTGTCAACGATATTCACGGGCCGTCGGTGTTTTATACAACCACGCCACAACGACTAAACGTCTTGATGACCATGTCGCCAGTCATTTATCATGGATAAGACAAAAGTAGACTGGAAAATTCCGAGAACCCCCCCTCGGTCAATACTGATATCGAACCCGGGAACTCCTTGTTATAGTGAGCCAGCACAGGTGTGCCTCCCGTCTACAGAACTTTACCAGAAGGTAATGCCACAATATATATGATACAAAATGTCTATTTTTCTGAAAATAATACAATGCTGTTTATATGTAAGTTTTGTTGCAATATGTTTTTCACTTTGATATTGTCACAGAGAGAGAGAGAGGGGGGGGGGGGAGGGTTATACGTCCACTATAGTCAAACCATGTCATTTGGGACTAACACATGGTACAATTTTATTTCAATAACCGCTAGCGAATAGGGTCTCGAGCTGTTAGAGGAAACCCACGAGGTTGGACAGACGACCCTATATAGTCATTGCCACGTGCAAGCGCGGAATCGAAACCATGCCACTTGACTCACTATTAGACGCGTTAAACCATTCGCCCTAACCCTAACCCACCACCTATCGTTCTATTTGCCACTTCATCCCAAATCAGCAATCCTCCTACATCTAGATTCTACTAATCCGATACATAAACACACGGCTGTATACACGAATCTTCAATGGCAACTCTGATGCTTCAAATAGCATGTAATCAGAATACTAATTCCATGGTTTAAATCCATTAAAAGTCTTTTGTACCGGAATATACGTATAGCATCCCGCCATTTCCGGAAATTAAATAATAAGACATACTGTTGGTTTTGTCATCTTTATTTGTTGACATTTTATGGGCTTTCTGTAGGTACATTAAATTATTAAGTGTCTTTAATGCTGAAATAGATGGAAAACAGGCGTAAAGTAGTGTCCCAGATGTTGCGACTGACTGAAAAACTGTAATATTGTATACGTATGTATGAAATTAAGCCTGTTTAAATAACTTTGAACATTTTGAATATGAAGCGTAAAATGCAAAATTCTTAAATGTAAGAGAGACAAAACGTTTTGTTGGGTAAAGCAATTTGATATAAAATTGTTATTTTAAGATGGTGAGCATGCTTCAGTGAACCATCGTGATTTCTTTGGTTTAGTAGTGTAACTAAACACTAAGCACCTGAAAGGTGATTTTTAATGAGATGGAAATTGATACTTGGCTATATCCAGCTCCGTTGGCCTTTTTTACTCTGTGCAATTCACTTAGCTGAAAATGTCCCTTGTATGGCCATAAACAAATTCAAGACGATCACTGATCATGATTAATAATAAAAAACAAAACAAAACAAAACCCCTGTAGGCTACAAATTAAACATACATTATGCAAGAGCTAAATCTGTCTATTGCAGGTCTTTCTTTAGGCCTGAAATGTTATTTAAATTATTAATTAGACATTAATTATATAACTTATCCAGACCATAATCATCTGTTGATGTCATCGCTAACCGGGGGGTGGGGGGGTCACGGTGGGTAAAGACGCTGGGTTGCTAGCCTGGAGGTCGGGTGTTCGATCCCCGATTGGCTGAAAAAGTTCATCCAGATTTTCCGGCGTAGTTCCCCGTGTACACATTGGCGTGCACGTAAAAGATCCCTTGACAATTGGAATTCGATATAATAGTCGACCGTGGTGTCGCTGTCCGGGCAAAATTTCTCTCATAGCACACTGTATGGCGTATGCCCGTCTTCATTAGCCCAGTTCGGAGCAGAACAGTAGGACGTTAAACCCCATTTCATTTCATCGCTAGTCTGTTCGAGTTTCATTCATAAATTAATCATAGAATGTATAATCGAGACTATGTTTTTTTATCGTATCGACTTTTGTAATGGTGATCGAGGCTAGGCCGAAAAGTCAATCGCTAAAATTAGGGTTCAGTGTGGATCAATTTGACTGAAATTTTCAGCAAATTCCCTTTACATTATCTAGGTTTTAACTATTATAGCGAGAACTGCCAGCTCTTTATCAAGTATTGGTATATTTGCCGACAAATGACAAGCAAGGGACGTAACACTGACTAAGCTCAAACTCAGCAGTCAACATATTAAAAGTTCCGAGCCAGGAACACATGTTTGGTTGTACAGTTATTATTAATAAATGTCGTAAAGAGAACAACACATGTAATATAATTATTTTGCGTCACACCTGTTAAAGCAACTGTCATTCAATGTCATCTCCTAATATATTAGATTACTGTTAAAGATACATTATTTAAGATTTAGATAAAGAGCTGGTCGTCCTTGCTATACTTGTTCAAATACAGATAATGTAAAAAAAAAAAAGAATAAATTGAAAATGTCAAATTACTTTATTCTGAGCGAAGTTATCAGTGTTTGACGTTTTGACAAGATCTAGCCTAAATAGTATCTTATGTCAAGTACTTTGTAACGATAAGAAATGAAGTCTCGATTTCCAGTCCTTCAATCGGATGTCTCGGTGTATCGTCCATGGTAATGATTAACAAAGATATGGCGGACGTTGTCTAATCCACTCAATATCTTAGTCATTCGATGGACAGAGTCGATTATTGGCTTGTCAACTGACTAAACATATAAATGAGCAAGGCCAAGAGACCAGAATTAACATTGAAGTCAATGGGGAAATGGGAAATTCAAGGTAGGGGGTTACCTACCATTGTGTTTCCTGTCCTGAGATGGGATTACTAGCCCGTGGGTGCACTAGTCCGCGGATGCACTAGTCCGCGGATGCACTATTCCGCCGCTATAAAAACACTATAAATATGGGTATAAAAACACCCCAGCAGGTATGATGGCTGATTGGTATCGTATCATATGATGTCGTGAGGTCGCCCTTCATAAGGCGACAACCCGACATCACGACATTTTAACCCGACAACACGGCATTTTTACCCTAAAATACGACAGACATTAAACGTCGGGTTGTCGGCCATGTTCCTCTCAATATATAGTTTGATTATGTACACTGATCCTTTTGTCTACGATATCACCTTAGGTGGAAGTGGACGTTAACACCAGAAACGAACGAACGAACGAACACTGATCCTGGTGTTGGTCAATTATGTATACTGATCCTGGTGTTGGTCAAGTAAGTTCCCTGAGATTTTGCAGCGTGGCTTCACCCTTTCAGTAGTGCAGGGCGAAGGGTTCTGGAAAAGAACAGTGTCTAGTTGTGTAGATGGGGCAAAATCATAATCCCCTGTGTGTGTCGGTCGGGGTTGATTCTTTACATTTCATTATTAGGGTGGGTGCGTTAGTATTATTGTCAGAGTTCGTTATGGGTGTGCATTTACATGTAATCATCAATGGCAATAATAGATATCGACGGACTAGTGCACCCGCGGACTAATGAGCATTCCCCCACGGTCCTAAATGTTAAGCGCGGACTAAGCCGTACAAGGTAGTATTTTGGAAAATGCTAAAAACTATTA